ATTTTGATGAACATGCACAAAAACAGATCCAATAGTTTCCCTATGCACAGAGTTCCAGTCTCTGTTAACTTCTCTACCAAAATAACATGAAAACTGAGTGAGAGTTCAGACATCTTTCATGTAGTACTTTAGTTCTCAAACAAATATGTATTTTAAAATGCAGATTACAGAATGCAACTCCAAGTTTTTTGAGTTGGAAAGTCTCCTGGTGAGATATGGAACTTACACATCTTCAGACATAGTGTAGTCCCCTCTCCTCTCGTGAAGGAAACTTCTCTGCAACAGAGGAAGACCACTCCAGAAAACTATGAGCAATCAATATGCAGACTTGTAGAGCCCAGTTCCAATGGGTTCATCTCTAAAACAACCCCTTATCTAAGGCTCAAAGAACAATGCAGCAGAGGAGAATGGAAATCAGTAAGACTCAGAGGAGCAGGGAGCTTGCTGTGGGACTGTGTTTCTAGCAATGTCAGAAGCTCTGCCTATTAAGTCTCACCATCATGACTGCCTACACACAAGCTGAACAAGACTAACAGTAGGCATGCAAAAGTGGATGAGGGAAAAGCAGAGATGCCTCTGCCCTACCCAAAGAACTATGGGCTACCAAGAATGGCAAGAGTGGGAGAAATAATCTTCTCCAGGGAAGAGCACATCAAATGGTTAAAATATTATCCAATACCAAATGGTCAGTCCTAAAAACATACATGCAAATAACATGATACAGACAGTGGACATATGTATGTATATATGTGTGTGTGTATTGTGTATGTTTGCATGCATATACACATGTATCACATGTGTGTATATATGATGTATATATTATCTATATGTAGATGAAATACATATATACATATATGTATATATGATACTATATATAATAAAAATTATATAATATATATAATAAAAATAAAAAATATCTTCTTAGTATGTCAAACATTTTACCACACAGAAAGAAACACATTGTTTTTTAATACTAAAACAGAGATGACAACTATTCTTGTTTTGTGGACAAGCTTTATCAAGTAAGCTGGAATTCAACAAAATTCTAACATCAGAGCACAAGATAATCATTGTCTTATACAAGTAACAGCAATTAATTAAAGAAGAAGCCATGAAGTTGAAAGAGAGCAAGGTGAGTCTGTGGCAGGGTTTGGATGGAATAAAGGGAAAGATAGGGTGGTGTAATTACATATTCTCAAAAGTAAAAGACGTATGTTTTTAAAACTCTCCTGGGCCAGGTAATGGCTCAGAGGGTAGAGTGCTTATCACCAAGCTAATGACCTAAGTTTGATCTCTTGATGAACCAACTCTCACAGGTTTCCTCTGATCTCCACATGTGTGCTGTGGCACACACATGTATGCACACAAAAATATTTTTAAAATGTAAAATAAATTAATCTCAATCCTATGACCAAACAGATGTGGAAAACACTGGATATCATTGTTCCTGCTTCAAAACAAACTCATGTGGTGATATTATGCACTAACAAAAGGGCACACAAATCTCTTCATGTAAAGAGCTCATATAGTCCATCTCAATGGATCAGTAATACAATAAAAAAAAAATGATAACAGGTCTTGAGCTTTGATGTGAGACAGAATTTTGCTAAGTTCCAAAATCCTTGATGCAACTTGTTCACAAAATAAGACTAGTTACCACTTTTGTCTCTATAGGTGTTTTATAGGGATTAAATAACAGAGTGTTTTGATTTGTTTGATAAAATGTCTGAGGCACTACAAAGCACAAAATCTGCACCCTACCTCTACTCAACAATCAGAAAATCGTAGAGAGAGAAGAAAAACAAATCCCTCATTGCTAGAGTGTCTTATTTTTCAAAGCTCACTTATCTCCAATGTTGCTTTTTTAGAACAATTTCATCTTCTCTTTGCAATTCTTCTAAGCTCTGAGCACTCTCACAGGTCTTGATGATGCCCTCCCCACTTGGAAAATAGTCTGTTCTTGTTTTGTGCTGGAGATCAAAGTCCAGAGCCTCCTGCATTTAAGGTTAAATCCTCTACAACTGAACTACCCCCCCAGTCTTTGCTCAAACGTTGTAGGAGGAAAGGGGAAGGGCAAATGATGACTTTATAATTTCAGAATCATAAGTGTCATTCAAAATGTATGCAAATTTATTTAAATTCATAAAATAGACAGCAAAAGTTAAATTTTAAAAAAGGTTTCTGTAAAAACAAATTATCTGCAGTTTTTTGTCTTAATATATGTTAACCTCTCTGTACTAGCACCAATTTTAGACTATGTGTCGCACAACTGGAGTATTCTAGCTTAGGATCAGTGAAAGCTCATATCATGTCCAATTTTAAATAGGAAATTTGAAAATCCCATGGTATGGGTTCAATTAAATTACTACTAATCCTATAATATATGATGCAAAGTCCAATTTGTAGGCATACTTTGAAAGTTAATTGTCGTAAGGAAACTGATTTGAACCTGGTGGGAAAGATCTGAAGTGCTTGTACAACCTTAAAGTAGTAAAACATCGGTTTCTCGGTTCCTAATGAAGACTAAACAATACATATTTTATTTACATATCGAACAATGCAACACTCTGTTCAGTGAATGATGTTCTTCTGCCACTTGGTGGTGCCTGCCAGTTGCAGAATTCGTTTCTTGGTGGCACTGTAACACTAAATGCATAGTGAGTGGGACAGCAGCACAGCATTCCCAACCAAAAGGCTTTGCTTCCAACTGCTTAATAGTTTAAAGAACCTCTGTGGAGGCAACTGTGTTAACCAGTCACAGCCAGTAATTGACTCTGTTGACGTTTTAAGTTAAGGTGTGCAAAGTGTCTGAAGAATACACATTCTTGCAACACATGCCAAAATCTTACTTAGCAGAGAATTCAATAACAATTTTCCTCGTTAAGAGGTTCTGTAAAATTCTATGTTATAGTTAAACTGTGCGATCCTAGCTCTGGTTTTTACGACCATAATCACTGCAAATAAATAAATAAATAAATAAATAAATAAATAAATAAATAAATAAATAAATATGCCTGAAGGACTTTGTCTTTAGTTCAAGTGGAGCTTATTTTCAATGCCTGATTAGTTGCTAATCGCTAATTGAGCCTTGTTATGGAAAATCCCAAGTTCTCATTCCTTAAGGTACCATGGGGCACCGTGAGTCTGCATTAAGGTTGAATGTACAATCTCTGCTGAAAGGCAGCTGTTTCTTTGTTTTTGAGATATCTTTGGCAGCTCCATCTTCTGGGCATTCCTTTACCTTCAACAATTCAGTTGCTCCATCTAAAAGCCGATTTTTCTGATGCCTCCAATGTCTGGTCAAATTGATCTGTGCTAATGGAGTCCTCGCTGGTGAGAGATGCCATTGACTGGAACGCTGAGATCTGCACTGCTTATTTGCCAGGGGCAAGAGACACCAAGATTCAGAAATCTTTAGAGGTGGGCAGAGGTGGGCGGGGGAGGGGAAAGGGAGTCCTGGGAGGGAGGCAAGGTGTGAGATAAAGGGAAGGGTTTCACATTGAGGAAGAAAGAGAGAGGTGGCTTTGAGGCTCCCAGGTGCTGTGGGATCACATCTCTCAAAGGGGAAGTTAAAAGGCATGGGGGTGGGAGGAGGTTGGAGGTTACAGTACTTGAAGGGATTGCTCAGGCATAGTTTGTTTTCTGGTGATGTCTGAAGAAGATAGATAGTCTGCCTTTCAAAGTCTGTCCGTGCCTCTTTTAAGTGATTTAGGTAAAGCACGCTAATTGCTTGTTAGATGCCATCAAACAATGCTCTCAATCAAGATTCAGGAGAATAAGAGAGGGGGGATACAAGAAAATTTAAAGAAACGGGGAAGGATATAAGGGCTCTTGGAAGAAAAGGAGGAGAGAATGGGCAAGGAAAGGGAAGAGGAGGAAAAAATAGAGCGGAAACACACACACACACAGTGCTAATGAAAAAAAAAAAAAAAACAGAATAACTGCACAATCACATTCACTACAAAAAGAAAACTCTTTGCTGCAAGGCATCCAGAACCCTGTGACTGCAGTAGTGACCAGACTCGCTAGAGACAGACACTCTTCTCGGTATTCGTCCCAAATAGCTAGCTCTGGGCTCTAAAACTAACATGTCATTAAGCAAAAGAGTATTTCTAACTACGGGGAGTGCAGCAGAAGGAAGGCGGGACCGCTCTGCTGTTTCCCCATTACTGGGGCGAAAGAAAACCTAGGGGATCTAGTGACTCCAGCCAGGTTAGATGTCCTTGCCTCTCCCCTGTCACTGATGATCCTGCAGACCCAGAGTAAAGCGCCCAGGCTATAGCCCGTGCAGCCTAAGCAAATTCTCTCCTCCCAGAGGCTTCTTCGTTTTGGATTCGCGGATTCGCCCTGTAACCCGTACTCGGCACAGATGCAGGGAAGCCTCTCGCTGTTCCTCCAGCCACCTGCCCCAACCAAAATTGACCTTCCAAGCACATTTGGCTGCGCCTTTTAGACAGCCACACAAGTAGGTTGCAGGCTGTACCAGAGCGTGCTGGGGAGAGGGGATCAAACCTTGGCTGCCCAAGCAGGTCTGAGCTGCGGAAAGCCTGGAAGGGGAAAAGAGGGACCAGGAGACAAGGAGAGCCAGGGAGACTAACTGGCTGCGCCCCCCTGGAGAGCACCGTCGGGTATGCAGCTTCTCGGGGAGCCCTTGTAGCTGCTTTAAGCCATCCAGAGCTTTCTTGGCGCTCACACCGCCACCTCTCATCCGCTTTTCTCGGCCACCGCCTAGAGAAGCACCCTTACGCTTCTTAAGCTAACACGAAATGCCCAGCCTGGGTTCCTTTCCCGGCCCAGCGGCGCCAGCGGGACGCCCTCTGCTCCCTGCCTGCTCCCCCTTGCTACCCAGTGGCTGTGGATTCTCCACCTCCGCCGCCCGCATCATCTCCAGCTGGAAGACAAGGCCACCCAGCCGCAGCGGGTGCTGGCAGCCCTGGGTCACACACAAGAGAGGTGCAAGCCCGGATCCCACGCACGGTAGGGGGCGTCCTGGAGCAGAGCAGAGAAGCAAGTGGGATGAAAGAGCGTAGGAGTAGCCGCCCTGAAGCCTGAGCTTCTCCCAGGAGCCATCCCCGCCTAGCCCGACTAGGGCAAGAGCCTAGAGAGCTAGCCCATCTGTGGCATCCGTGGCCGCCTCCTCCTTGCACCTCCTCGCCGACCCCTCCCTCCCGAGACCTGCATCTCGCTCCGCCAATCAGAGTCCGACTGCCGCTCCCCACGTGACCCCGGGCGGGCTAAGGACCTGCTGCTTCCCAAACGCCAGAGGGATGCGGGCGGCAGAGCGCGAGAGGCGGCGGCTGGGCTGCGGAGCGCTGTGACTGTCCCTCCACCCAGTCTAGTCGCGCACCTCTCTTCTGCCCGCTGGTTGCCTCCTCTCTGGCCCCTGGTTTCTGTCTCCTATCCCTCCTTTGCCCCAACCCTCTTCCTTATGGCAGCAGCTCCCCGCATCTGGGGCGAAGCTTTTCAGCGGACTGTCTTCTCTCTCCCCGGCTGAGCCGGGTCGCTGGATGTTGCTGAAACTCCTGAGATCATGAGCTCCTTTGGCCACAGCCTCACTGCTGGCTGCCCCTGCCGCCGCCTCCTCTGTTACCGTGGTCCGCGGGATGCTCAGTAGCCCGCTGCGTGGCCCCCGCGATCCCGTGTTCTTCAGGAGCCGTTGGTTGCTGCAGAGTTGCGCGAAGTAGTCATGGTGCTGTGGGAGTCCCCGCGGCAGTGCAGCAGCTGGACACTTTGCGAGGGTTTCTGCTGGTTGCTGTTGCTGCCGGTGACGCTGCTTATCATAGCCCGTCCGGTGAAACTCGCTGCTTTCCCTACCTCCTTAAGTGACTGCCAAACGCCCACCGGCTGGAACTGCTCCGGTAAGTCCAGACCCCTCAGCCCTCCACGCGTTCGCCCCTCATAAGCACTGAGACTGTACAGCTCTGCCTACCCATCCTCGTGCTTCTGCACAGCCCCTCGCCTTTCACTGCCTGAAACCCAGGACTTCCCATCTCCATCCTGAGAAACATTGGGAACTGCTTTAGCCAGGGCTGGGCGTGCTGGGATAGGAACAAAGTGTAGGTGTGGGGGAACCTTGGATGTCTGCCCTCAAATTGAAACTGAGAAGATTTAGAGAAATACTAGAGGGTAGTTTTCTGTGTTCTCGAATCTAGGGGAACACCGAACAGACTATTTCCCGTAGTTAAAAAAAAAAAAAAAAAAGTCTAGTCTGGCTGTGCAAGAATAACTTTATGAGAAAGAATAATCGAGAAAGCAATAAATCAAATGATGACTGCAGGGGGAACCGTTAATTCTTGCCGAACATGTGAACATGCTTCTGTATGCAGGGCTTTCCTACTTAGCACTGGTCACGGGTGATTCTAAAGGAGGCAAGTTTCCAAGGTCTCTCTCTCTCTCTCTCTCTCTCTCTCTCTCTCTCTCTCTCTCTCTCTATCTATATATCTCTCCCACCTCTGCCTCTCCCTACTTCCTCCCTCCCCTCTCTCCCTCTTTCTCTTTCCTCCTCTAGTCTGCTCCCTCTCAGTCTATAGTTCTAGTTCTCTTGCTCTGTCCTGCTTGCCCTCTCCCCTCCCTCCTCCTCCCACCCTCTCTCTTCATCCCCCTCCCCCCTTTCTCTCTTTGGCTGCAAACGCCATTGATTTTGAAAAAGGTTGACTTTGTAGTCAAAGGATGCCCACCCAGGCTTTCCCAGCTCCTATGTGGAACACAGAAGTTAAGGAAAAGAGCGATCACGGATCCCCCAAAGCCAAAATGGGCATGCTCCAAGCCTGGAAGACTCACCTTTGAAAACCCAGTGACCCTACTATAATGGGTCCCAACCCCTTAGCTTCTGCACTGGGTTTCCTGGAGTGACAAACAGTCCTCTTGCTCATTCAGTCCATGTCAGAATACTAAAGCTTGGCAGGCTGCACACTACTGAAGCCACTAATTGAAAAGGATCCAAATATTGAAGTTATTGCACTCTTCCTGACTGCTTTTAAATTTCAGTATGAGAGCCTCACACACACACACACACACACACACATATATATATAATTGTGGTGTGATTTCTTTGGCATTTTAAACTTCATAAACATGATGCCTGGGCATTGTCCTCATGGTCTGGTTTAGTCTCATTTTAGCAAGTATGTTTATAACATTTTGTTTTATGTGAATAAAATCCTGGTATAATTAAATCTATCTTTGAATGGGGTGGCCTTTATAGAAATGTAAGTGAAAGGAAATGTCTGAAACTGATAAGAGGGTGTGATTATTAAGTGTAACTTATCGGTAGGGGCATGTACATTCTATGGAATGACTAATATAAATTCCAAGAGGCAATTAATATGACCCACTCCAGTTTAGACTTTGTCAAGACAAGTTGAAATTTACAGTTCCTATTATATTTAGGTCAGTAGACTAACTTTGTTCTTCTTTCGGTAATTTCTACATTTTTTTTTTTTTTTATGAAACCCAACATATCTCTAACTCATTCTTGGCTCCACCATTCCTGTATGGTTTTTTTTTTTTTTCAAGAATAAGTTCCACTTAGGGACAAACCATCCTTAAAATTTGATTGTAGCTAATATTGTTCAACATGACTAGTTTGCTTCATTCTTAACTGGCATTAGTATAGGAAATAGCCAGCTTAAATGTGGCATTGTGATGAAGACATGAATTGTGAGCCATATCTCCTAAAGGTATATGTACCACCTAGAAAGGATGAACTGCATGTCTAAGAAGATTATTGAGAACTTGGCAGCCCCTTCTCAACCCTGTTAACGTGCAAGTGGTTACGTTCTTTTGAACCAGAGAGACCTTCCCAGAAAACGCCAAGCCTGTTTATCTTTATTATTGAGGTTTTGCTTCCTCTTTGTCTGGAAAAATTGCAAATAACAGTCATTTCAGACCTTACAGCAAAGAACAATTAAAGATAAAGAAATACCAAAATAGCTTCCACATACCACCACCAGATCTTTCCCCAAAATGTCGAGTTCAGGTCATTAGTATTGCTTATTTAGTGAGGGGGCAAGATGAAAAACCTGAGACACAATTATCAAACTTCCATCCACAGTCGGTATTAATCTAAGCTAAAATTAAGAAGGCATACTCCAAGGATGCTATTGAAAGAGAAGTTACTAGGACACTGCTGTAAAAAGTATAAAATATTATTGATCCCGTCACTGGATTTGGAGATTATTGGGAGAAAGCAACCTTGTGGAACATCTGTGGCTATTGAAATTAAAATTTTAGGAAAATTCTGGTAATGCCACAAAATAGGGTTCTCTTTAAAAGTCCATAACATTTTTAAATGACTGGAACATTCTCTTTAAACTTGAGGTTTTGATGACAGAGAAAATGATCTCTTCCTGTGCGACACCAACACCTGTAAATTTGATGGGGAATGTTTAAGGATTGGAGACACTGTGACTTGCGTCTGTCAGTTTAAGGTAAGATATCTGATATTTGCAACTTCAATTCATTACAGAGACTGTATAAGGTAGAGAGTGCCTTTAAAAACCCATCACTTGGCAATTTATAACTATACAGACTCAAAGGGAGGCTGGAATCAAAGGAAAGTGCTACCACAGAGCAAGCTAATGTCAAGAAGACATGCCTTTTAGAGACCTGTGTGCCATAGTTTAGAATGCCACTGAAGCTTCTACTTTTTAGATGTGGAATGCATGCATTTTATAGGTCGATTGACTGAAGATAATTGTCAAATTAGTCATGGGTAAAAGGAATGGATTTGTACTTTTGTACTTCTCTAGAGTTGTCATCTATTATTATTATTATCATTGTTATTATATTGTTCTTTGTTTTAGCTGACTTTGGTTTCATTATTCTGTCAATATGACACAAGTTTAAGTTAACTACTACTAAGGTCACTCCAAAACTACTGTGCCATTTGGAAATCATGAACCTTGTTACTATATATTATAGTTTTTAGAGTAGCACATTAAATGACTACAGAGTCTCCTAGGAATACAAATGAGCTCAAAGAGCCTCAAGTGGATTTGTAAGCAGAGGCAAGGTGCACTTCATCACGTGCCATGGAAGTTTTCAACAGTTGTAGAGATAAACACATTTTTCAAAAGAGGTATCATCAAAACTAATTTTCAAGATCAATTTAAAATAATACTGCCATTGTTGTTATTGCAGTAACTACCATACTTCCTACCATACAGTTACTGACCTTTGTTTCTTTCCAAGATATTCATATGTTGATTGAAATCACTTGGATGTTACACTAATATCATAGCCACACTTGATTGCTATTGAATTACTTTTAAAAACACACACTGACATCTTATATAGACTAAGCCCCGAAATATGCATATAAATAGAACTACTCACAGAATCAGTAATGCTCCCAAAATTATAAGAAAAACATAAAAATTGCAGAACAAATAAAAATCCAGTCATATTTAAATATCTTTTTAATATACAGTATTGAGAATTGACTTATTATTAAATGTTGGGGGATTTAACTCAACATCTTGGTGAGGCAGATAAGGGGATTCCCGTTTCAATATGGCTTGATTTACTTTTAGGTAAGGTGAAAGTTCCTTGAGAATTATTTCCTCCTTTTTGAGAAACATAGTGAGCCAATTGGTAAAGTACCTAAAGATATTGCCATAGCATTAGAAATGTGCCTGTGCAGATCACAGGCATGTGGCAACAACTTTCAAAGTCTCTACCACAGCAAGCGATGAATCACATTCTTCCCATGCACTACATGATGGTGATGGAGCATGAGAACTCCCAACAATTTTTAGTGTTGATATACAAAGTGGGAAGAACCAAGTTGGAGAAATCACTAAATCACTAAAGACCCATGGAATTTTACAGATTTTTTTTTTAACTGTGTGATTCCTGTGAATTTCTCTTACTCTTGTGACCTAGGATAAATACGGCAAGTAAGTTCATAAATAGAAAACAATAGTTCAGAAAGAACATTCCTCACATACGAGTTTGTGTTTCTAATACTCCACCAGAAGAAATAAAAGAAATTGCTTGAATTCTAACTGGGTGAATGCAGGAAATGGAAATGTTTCATTTTCTTATTAAAGGAACTATGTTTGAGTTTTAGCTGTTACATGGAATTTTTGTCATCCCAGATATTTGTGTTTTTCAAACATTGGTCAGTCCCAGTGCATTAATTTAAGTAATTGTGAAGTTTGTTGGGAATAACAAATGAAAATATATGCTGTAAGTTTGTATTTCCTAATTCCCTAGCGGATTATATTGATATTAATGTATGTTTTACAATAGTCAGTCTTTCAAGAGCTAAAAAGGACCTCCCTCTCTCTAGTAGTAAATTTATATTTTATATACGTATCAGAAATGTTGAACATCTAAATCATAGTGATGGTTAAAGAAAATTGTGCAAATTACATGAAAATGAGAAGCTGGGAGTTCCTTGGTTTCCTCTGAGTCTTTAGGGTTTTGCTGTTGTTTTGTGGGTATGTTTTTTATTTTATGTCTTCTCACTTTTCTCTGGCAAAAAAGAAGAGATCTGAAGATCTTTTTTATAAAGTACCCTAAACTTCTGTTTCCTGTGCTTTTTCAGATACAAGCATGAATTGTACTATTTGAAATGGGATGTGCCATTAGTCATTCTGGATGTGAAATAAATTTCAAACAGAAATGTGCATATTATGCTAACTTATTATATCTTCCAATATGTAGTATTACTCAAGCACTAAAATGAACATACATAATTCTGACTTCCCTTAGGTACTTTAAGATAAACTAATTTCTACCCTTCAAAACTCACTGAGTTCTTACAAGTAACTTAGATAATGTTGGTTAGCTGGCTCACTATTTTTTCTTTCCTCCATCATTCCATTTTTTCTATCTTCCTTCTTTCACCTACAATGCTTGCTATTTAAGTCAGGACCTTACAGGTGTAAGGCAAGTCTTCTACCACTGACATACATTTGTTTATAATATGAGGACATTTGTTTCCATTAACACGAATAAAATATCATTAAGTCATTATCCCAGAGTATTAACCACAGTTAGAATTGGGGTACTTTATAAATATATCAGTTAATTCTAATTTTTCAGTATTATTATGCATGCAAATGAAAATTCCAATAACACAACAAGGCCAGTTTATTATAGACAATAATTAATAACCAATGCAGTATAAGTCAAACATCTGTAACACAGAAATCCAAATTCGACCATGATATTTAAAATATTTTGAATTTTTTTTGGTTTTTGTTTTGTGTGTGTGTGTGTGTGTGTGTGTGTGTGATATTAGCAGGTTTCATTGAATGCTATAGGTTAACAATTAGAAGACAATACCACACAACTCTCAATAATGTAAACAGTATCACAAAGCTATTTAGGTCATTTTTAGTTTGCACATTCCAAAGAGCCTACCCCTTTACTCTGTCATCCCCAAATACCTTTTTTCCTTTTTTAATTTAAATATGAAACAACCTCCCTCCTTCCCCTATCACCCCCACCAAACTTCAGCCCACCAACTTTCTACTCCCCAGAGAGAGTGAGGCCTTCCATAAGGAGTCTTCAAAGTCTGTCATATCATTTGGACCAGGGACTAGGCCCTCCCCCATGTGTCTAGGCTGAGAAAGTATCCCTCTATATGAGATGAGCTCCCAAAGTCCATTTGTATACTAGGGATAAACACTGATCCACTACTAGAGGACCCAAAGACTGCCTAAACAATCACGTTTAGGGAGTCAAGGTCGGTCCTATGTTTGCTTCTCAGCTATCAGACTGGGGTGTATGAGCTCCCCCTTGTACAGGTCAGCTAATTCTGTGGCTTTCTCCAGCCTGGTCTTGACCCTGTTGTTCATCATTCCTCCCTCTCTGTACCTGGATTCCAGGAATTTGGCTTAGTGTTTAGCTACGGATGTTTGCTTCTGCTTCCATCAGCTACTGAATGAAGACTCTAGAATGGTATATAAGGTAGTTGTCAATCTCATTATCATGGAAGGGCTTTAAAGGTAGCCTCTCCACTATTGCTTAGATTGTTAGTTGGATTCATTCTTGTAATTCTCTAGGCATTTCCCTAGTGCCAGATTTCTCCTTAAATCTGTAATGGCTCCTTCTATTACAGTATCTCTTTTCTTGTTCTCTCTATTCTTTCCCTGTATCAATCTTCCTGTTCTCTCATACCCACCTCTCCTCTCATCTTTGTCCCTTCTCTTTCTCCTAACTCCCTCTCCCCTCCCTCAATGTTCCCTGTTTGCTCAGGAGATCTTGTCCCTTTCCCCTTCTCTGGGGGACCATGTATGTACCATGTATGTCTTCTTAGGGCCCTCCTTGTTTCCTAGCTTTTCTGGATGTGTGGATTCTAAACAGGTAATCCTTTGCTCTATGTCTAAAATCCATATATGAGTGAGTACATATAGTGTTTGTCTTTTTATGACTGGGTTATCTCACTCCGGATGGTTTCTTCTAGTTTCCCTGAGAATTTCAGGATTCCATTGTGTTTTTATGCTGAGTAGGACTTCTTGTGTAAATGTACATTTTCATCATCCATTCTTCAGTTGAGGGGCATCTAGGTTGCTTCCATGTTCTGGCTATTACAAGTAATGCTGCTATGAACATAGTTGAACAGATGTCCTTGTATGAATGTGCATTTTGGATATATGCCTAAGAGTGGAATTACTGGATCTTGAAGTTTTTTTTGTTTTAAGCATTTTAGATTTGGAATTTTTTTATATGGATACTCAAAGGGCAGTGTCTACTCTGACATCCCACTAAGATCTCAAATTCTATCCTGCTGAACAGTTTGGATAAGGAGTATTAAGCCTCTACCATAATTCTTAGATAATGAAATGAAATTTTAAAATGTCATGCATATCATGCATCGTTATCTTCCTACCATAACACCAGAAGACATACTGGTCAGTTTGCCAAGTCAATTGTGAAGAAAAGTCTGAGAAGTAGTAAATAAATGAGTGGATGGAAAGAAGGAAGATCAAAAGAATGATGAAAGGTCGGAAGGGAGGCAGAGAGAAGGATATAATTGTTCCTAGTTCACAGAGTGATCAGTGATAATTTTAGAAGTTTAAACTATCAAGTAGCTTTATGCTTTCTCCAGAATTTTCTAATATGAACATTAAATATTTTGTAATTAATAATCCTTGCTTATATCTAAAACTGTCCAATAACTAGGGCTGCTTAAAATTTTGCGCAGAAATTAGAGGCCAACAGTGATATTCATAGATCTGCGGTTTTGATGAGGTTATTACAAACAGCTTATTTCCACTCTCTGTTGTCCTTGGCTAAGGGGTGGTAACTATAGGCATGGGATTAGTTCAAGGATCTAACTCATGCCTGATCACAACCTGCAGAGCTTGACTCTTCTCCACCGCTGTATTTTTGCATGGGCTACGACATTGCACAATGGCTAGGTTTCAAGAGTAATCATCCAGAGTGAGAGAAAGACCCAAGTGAGACCAGTTTTCTTTAATGACCTGACATGGAGAGTGACAATCATATCCACTACAGTCAAAGGCCTGTCCATTTTAAAAAAATACAATTTTATACATCCAGGGAGAGGTAGTCTCAGAGAAATAAAAGTTACTTGTGGAATGGTCAAACAGCAACACATACAGATTTTTAAACATTTTCTCCTCCAGAAAAGTACTATATTATCTTAAGCTATTCTTCCTCAGCCTTTGACAACTGGGAATATAACAGAATTCACTTAACATCTGTTGAGAACCTTCTCCATGCCAAACTCTGTGGAAGGTGCTGGCAACAGATAAAACTTAAGTTACATATAGCTTCTAGATGCTGAAATCTCAGTTTTAAAATCTGTATTAACCAAACAAGCATGAAATCACATAAAAATTTTTTATCATCTTTTATTCTCTGGTACCAAAGATGAATTCCTTATATCAAAGAGAGTCGGGTTGTTGAATTCATTAATATAATCTATGACTGTCTTAAACAATGTGAAGATGTGGGAACAAAGTTATTTTATTGAAAACACATATTTGGAAAATAAACCTAAGATATTTTTTAAGATATAAGGAAAAATAGAATTACTTATTTCTCAGTGAAGTTTATGCAACACATACATTTGTAGATTTAACCATAATCTGGGTTTGGTTTTTTTTCTTAACCATGTAGTCTTTAGATAGTTACTAAACATCTAATTTTCCATATTCAGATTTTGACAAATACAATGACTATCTTCAACAACCATTTTCAAGAATTTGGTATATTTCAGTGAAGCAGTTAGCCTATACTCACATGGAGGACTGGAGAGTATTTCTTTGTTTTTTAGTTCTAAAAACATAGTACTTCACTGTGACTCATAGGTGATGGCTCTGCTAATAAAATGTGTCATGAATGCCAAATAATTTCCATTTTATAGGTAATATTTACAGTAGATCCTATGTTCCTAAAGCATAAATTTGTTAGTTCTCTACATCTCTATTCACTACTTCGGACCAAGAAACTGAGCTACAGACATACAAATAATTAGCCATGGAGTAACATATCCAATTCCTACATAAATATGGTGAGAAAAAGAAGAGAACACAGGACTAGACATTCACCTTGCACTTTGCTGAGAGTATCTGTTTCCTTTTGTGTTTTTCATTTTAATGAGTGCAAGTCATGGTACCAAGGGCCAAAAGCATCATGGTGATAATCTACAGTTAAGCTCTTCTCAGCTCTATACAAATCCCCCCTTTGGCTTCTGCATGGAACTTGGCAGCTCTGCTTTAAGCACTGTTCACATTTGGCTTACTGCATCCCACAGAAGTGACATATGAGCACTTTATCAGTTTATTCTCTATTTTAAGATGCATATCAGCAGTGTGTCTTAGCACTTGATAAAGATAATAATGTCTTCCCACCCTCCACTCAGTCCAGTGGCCTGCTAGTTGACTCACCTCTTGAAACACATGAGAAGATTGGAAAGGAAATATGTCAGAGTTATATAGAAGGAAATGTGACTCCAAATAATCTGCACACCCAATGTTGCTAAACTTAGTTATTAAAAGATGACCAAGGGCAAGAATGCCAGACCCAAGCATAAGAATTTAATAAGCCAGCCATTCACATCAATTTTAACTCTCATGTTTAAGGCAAAGGTAAGCCAGTCTGTTGCCCATATTGTTACCAAGTCTTTCCTCCTTCTCTCTTCTAAGCCCTCAGTCAGCACTATAGCTTTACAGAATCCCAAAGTCCCCCTGAATTCTGCTGTCCCAGGTCCTGAACACTGCACATTTACCCAGTACTTGACCATTAATTTGTCTTATGGCCATGAATATGAAATTAGCACCAGCCTTATTTTTTATTTTACTGTTTAATACTTCTCATTGGAAAATTCAAATCTCACTGTCATTTTCTGTTGCCTTGCCTCAAGTAGTGCTGGAAATACTCTTACAATAGTTATAAATCAAATGTAATATATATATATATATATGTATATATATATATATATCTTATGAAGATGTAGAGTGCACAGGTTTCATCTATCAGAAAGCAACTGCTTATTGGGTTAAAAGGTAGCAATAGCTTACCCAAAATCATAATCAAATCAATTTCATATGTAGCTATATAAACATCCTCAGCCTATGAACCAATGGTATAAATATGAATAGAATTAGTCAATGAATATAAGGTATCCAAAATACCTAATGATTAATTATAGAAGTAAATATAAATAAGATTTCTAAGATATGTAGTAATTGCTATTAGCAATGGTAACCATCATAATATCAATGCCATAAAATTTTGATTGGCTATTTGTAAAAATGTCAATTAGCAAAATTTCATATTTAGGTTATTCAGTGATGTAAGGTGTATGGTTTTTCCTCCCACCGCCTGGTCTTGTCCCGCCACTGTGCCAGCCCAAATAATACACAGAGACTCTGTATTTGATACAATGTTATTGGCCTGGTTACTTGTTTCTTATCCGCTAGATCTATCATAATTATTAACCCATTTCTGTTGATCTATGTATTTCTCTTACCGGGGAGCCAGCTGGCATTCTGCTTTCTCCAGACTCTCCATCTTGGCTCCTCCTTCCTACTTCCTCTTTCCTCCTTGTCTCCTAGTCCCTCCTATCTTCCTATTGGCCAACAGTGCTTTATTCATTAACCAGTATGAGAAACATATATATATATATATATATATATATATATATATATATATATATATATATTGGCATCTCCCATCACAGTGATATATAAAAGGCAAGACATGTGGCTTTCATTCAGAAAGCACTGATTTATATCACAGGTAATTGTCTGTGTAGGGGATTTGGAAATGATCAGAAACTGAAGTACTTACTGTGCAAGCATGAGGACCTAAATTCAATCCACATTTCTTATATAAAAATCTGGATGTGACAGCACACATCAGTGATGGCAGTGTGCAGAGGCAGGCACAGGATGATGCCTGCAACTTTCTAGACAGTCAACTTAGTTGTATCTGAGAACTTCAAATTCAGGGGGAGACTATGACTCAAAATATGAGGCGAAGAAGTGATTGAAGAAGCCACTTGATGTCAATCTCTTGCCCCCACACACAGGCACACACATATACATGAATCCACAGACATGTACATAAATAAAATAAGTGAGTAAATAAGTAAGTTTGTCAGAATGACTTAGCTTTTATTATGTAAAGGTAAGAAAGAATCAAATAGATTATTGTGAATAGAAGGGTGTAGATGCTGTAAGAAATTACAGAACAAAACATGTCTCAAGTTTTTCTCAATTTAATTCTCACCTCATACCTCTTTTATTCTTTTTCTTTGGCATAAATCCTTGAGTTAAAATTTACATGTGATAGACTTTTAAACATTTAAGCATGCATATTAAGATTTTTTTGATACCTGGATAGGTTGTTGATTTATTTTATGTGAACTGTTAATTTATAGCATGTCAAAAGTTCAAACATTTTAATTAAAAGTGGAAAACAGAAAAGCATTTTCACATGTATCTGCATGTGTGGTTTTCCTTACTGTGTTTCTGGCATAGGCAAGCCTTGATAGATAATCATCTTGATCATTTCATTTGTTACAATTAAACAATGAAGTGCATCAGTACAAGTAATCATCAAATAATCACATCCTAGTGTAATTAGCAGGTATAGGACACAGCCAAGTATCTCTAATGTCTTGGAGTGTGATTGTAATATGATGGCTGTACTCAGTAGGTTGCCTAATTTCCATTGTAGAAATATGTAGTTTTTTTGGTAATGAGGTTATTTTAAAAATGAACATTTCTCTTTCTGAAACATATGCAAATAGTGATCATTTGGAATATTCAACAAATTTGATATACAGTTCACTACTTGTGAAAGTTTTCCCTCTATATTATATAGTCTTGCTTCTATATTCTTGTCTTTATCAATATCCAGAGATTTAACAATAAAAAGTAAGTAGCAATTCAATCTTGTCTGAAGATTTCTTAATGTCTCAAGATTAAAAGTCAAAAGGAAAATAATAACCAAGTAACTGGATATTTATTTTTGCTATTTTAGTTTTGAAATTTCAGAAAAATAGTTCTGCTCCTAACACAGATAGCTATCAGCCTTGATTTTGTTGGCCTAACATGGCTGAGTTGTTTATCTTCACCCTAAGAAGTACAAGGATACCTATCAGAAAAAATTAAATAATAGGTGTATGCTTGTTGTTACATCTTTTGTGTGCTAATAGCTCAGTCACTTTCTTGGAATCACCTAATCAATTTGGATACTTTGTGGTGCCTCTGTCTAAATCAAAAGACAATTTGGTCAATGTGATATTGCTTTTGTGTGTCTTCCAGTGATGCACTTGCAAAGCAAAGACTTGTAGGGTATAATGGGGATCACTGAAAAACATGAGATGTGGTTTGCTTTAGAAATGGTTATTTGTGTTTAGGGTGTCTGAGGAATGCAGAATCCAATAATGACCACAGTGTTTTATAGCTTTGCTTTTATCTTTGTTTCTCAGTGCAACAGTGACTATGTGCCTGTGTGTGGCTCCAATGGAGAGAGCTACCAGAATGAGTGCTACCTGAGGCAGGCTGCCTGCAAGCAGCAGAGTGAGATCCTTGTGGTCTCAGAAGGATCCTGTGCCACAGGTATGTACAAGTGCCCTGAAACCCAAATGGATTGTGAGCCCAAAGGCTTCTTGTTTCCTCTCATTTCTAATAACCAACCTTATTGTACGTTGACTAGGGATTCCATTTGTTATTGTTAAGTAAAGCCTTACTTTTTTACTTTAAATATATCTTATTTTCAAAAAGAAGAAATGTATTGTATGGCAACTGGTGTCTTTAAATACGTATGTTGTTTATTGATGTACAAACAATTGAATAAAATATAATTAGAAATCTGCACTCAAGTGCCCACATATCAGATTTATAGATGAAATCTTGTTTGTTCAATTGAAGGTTCCTTTGAGAAACTATCTTCTAGAGTGCATCTTTGCAGGTTTGAGTTCTGAAGTTAACACGTATTTTTGTAAAGGCACTAATGTTAGATTTTAACTTTAAAATGTACTGGTTACCATTTAGCAGATTATACTGAAGAATGCATTGGCAGTGTGAATAATTTACACTAACATCTGTCTTTCTGACACAGTTAAACTCAAATTCTTCAGAGCTCTTTAGTTATGTTGTTCTAAGAATCCTGGAAGGAAATTAGGAAGGAAGGAAGGAAGGAAGGAAAGAAGGGAGGGAGGGAGGAAGGGAGGGAGGTAGAGAGAGGGTGAAGGGAGGGTGAGGGGGAAACAGAGGGAGGGAGGGAGAGGGAGGGAGAGAGAAAGAAAGTCCATGAACTTCTTAGCTTTTCAGGATTATGTTTTTGTTTGATTACTTTCTTTTGTCTTCCTGCTTCTTTTCCCTTTTCCTTCTTCTGTGTTCTTTTTATCTATCTGCATATCTATCTATCATCTATCTAGCTCTCTATCTATCTAGCTAGCTATCTGTCATGTGGTAGTTGTTACAGTCCAGCAATTTGCAGGTGGAGGAAATAAAGCAACAACAAAAACAAATAAGCAAGCACTTAGGCAGAGCTTGCTTAGGAAAGAGATGCTTTACAGCTGTGCCATAAGCTCCTATCCTAAATAAGCAGTACCAAATTATGACAGGTACACAAAATTACAGAAACTGTTTGGAAATTTTGGAAATTTGTAGTTTCCAAGAATATGAGTGACTTATGCCTATTCAGGATAACAATACCACAATAGGAAAACTTCTTTCAAAAACTAGTGTTAGGGAGTCTATTATATGAAAGTTACTCTGGTATATTTGTGTCATTTTAGGGTGCTACAGGTTTCTCCTGTAGTTTGTTGGGGTAGAATATGAGCAAGAGGACTGTTTCAGCCTACCGATTGTTTAAGGGTGAATGATATTCAGAGGTGTCCTACTGACTAATACAGTTTCCAAAATGAACAAAGGACAATCAGGGACATTTTTTTTTCTGCCACAGAGATACAGCCTTTTGTTTTGTGTTGGTTGATCAGGGGTCTTTTCTCCTGAATTATTCTTTGCCTTTGAATCTGAATGACCTATTTGATCAAGATGGCCTCTGTGCACTACTGATTTGGCACAACAGGTCATTGCAGCTTGTTCTGGAGTGAAAAGTGTGTATGACTATGATAGCAAATGTGAAAGTCAGAGGGCAGAAATTCTTGCAGAAGAGGACCAGAAGGGAGCCTCGTAGTAGCGATGAAGACAAAGAAAGAATACTAAGAAACAAACTCAGCTGTACCAAAAGACAAAACAATAAAGAAAAACTACTTGAGAACTAATGGGACAGAAATAAATGGAACCATTAGACCTCTGGAAGGTTGTAGTTAACACTAAGGAGGAATAGGAAAAGCCTTGTTTAGGATCTAGAAGGGCAGCTGACCAGCTTGCACATCACCAGGTGAAGACCAGCAGGCAGGCAGCACTCATAGGAAACAGAGCAGGAGCTATGGCTATGGCAAATAGCATCTGGTACTTAAAAAGGTACTCATTCTCCCAACCTCTAAGCTCCTGTCAGTCCACAGTCACACTCTTGATTCATTCAAGTCTATTCATGCTAGTCCCCAGTGTGGCGCTTTTACTATGAAAATAAATACTTAGCCAAGTAGAAAATTTAATCACAATTGAAGAAGCTGTCCTTACTTCATTTGCATACTTAGATTTCTGCAGGATTTAATTAGTCAGCCAGTTTAGCTGAATGCAGTTTCTGTTGACTAGTGAATCTAAAAGGGTTTTGATCTGAGCAGTGATGGAGAAACCAGGCCCGATGGCAAATAAATTGGGTTTTGACTTTTCTTCATAATTTTCCCGTTTATTTTTAATGCCCCTTGACACTGAGTGGAGGTGGCAAGTTGTGTTCTTTAGGAATAAAACACTGAAGAACATATAATTTTATATTTGTCCCATGTCATTAGAGTTGCAAGGCTGTTTTTTATCCAGAATGTAGCTTGGTTGTAGCCGGTCTCACTGTCAGCTATACATTTTGCCTTGCAAGAACTGAGTTGATGACAAGCCAAGATTTGTGGTATCTCTTCTTTGCTGAGCAATTTCTGCACCCCTGCTCCACAACTTTCTTAGGCTATTTATTTCTGGCTTGTCAGGATGACTCATCCTACAATTGAGAAAACATTAAAGTTTCCCATAAGTATTTCATAATGATGCTGTTAACTACAGTGACCATTTTCCCATCTAGTCCCTTTTCTTCCCTAGCTATTTAATTTGGGTCAAATTAAACATTAATCATGTGGGCTAAATTATTTCTCTTGAAATTTTATAAATATATGTGGAAGATAGAAGCCAGAAAGCTAATACTATTTTTTTTACTGACTTTCCACAGCCATATGTATTTACTCAAAAACCTAAGTAAAGATCAATAGGCAAGATGTTTTCTCAACATTTTAATTATCATATTCCAGACAATGCTCATGCATTTAATGTAAGCTATTGTTCATTATACTCATTAAACAGAAGGAATAGGATTAGGAAAGTGGCTTAAGATTCTTCTTGTCATTTAGCAGCCTGGGACCCATGAACATATTTATCTTTCTCTTTCTGTATGTCATATTCAAGTGTGGAGAAACAAACATCACATTGGACTGTCTGATAGAATTTCCTGATTTTAGTAGGAAATGAAAAATAGACTTCATATACTAAGAACATACGACACGGGCAGGATGTGTTAATCCTGATACAGTATAGCCTGTCTTTTGGTCCCTTTGAATAAAAGTAATAGTGGAATAACCTTTCAAATTAATTCAAACAAAGTCAATAAAAGTTTTACCTATGAAAGTATGATCAGAGGAAACTTAGCAAACAGTGACCATTTGAACACTATTCTGTCAAGAAGAAATAGTGTTATAACTAATGAATGTTGTTTTAACTAGAGGAATATGTATAATGAAGATATTAAGAATAAGTATGTTTTTAATATATATTTCTTAATATTTATTTCTCAATATATATTATTCTCAAAATTTAATCATAACATATATATATATGTATATATATACACACACATACATATATATATGTTTGTATATATATTCACATATATATATATATATTGCTGTAAACTGTTTCTATCAGTTAGCTTGCCTTTAAGTCCATGTCCAGCAGCTAATGAATTAATCGATAGTCTTGTATAATACAGTGTTATTTAACATGAATTGCCACACAGACTTACAGATGCCCCTCCATGGCAACGTTAGTGCCACAAAGTTAGACATGTTTGGTTGCACCTATTCTCCCATAAATGTCAGTTGTATGGATTTCCATGCTCCTGGTCTCTCTATATAGTGTTTCACAGAAAATTGTCAAAGAGGCTATCAAGAAGAAGAAATATTTATATTAATTAAACTGAACAACAAACACAGATTCATAGAGGAGGTTTTTGAAGTATGTTTTGAGTCTTGTATGAGATTCCAATGTAGAGTAGTAACAGCATATCTGAGACTACCAATATTATCATATTACCTAGTTTTAACATTAGAAATCCACAATGAAACATGATTAGAATAAAGAAATAAGCAGAGAAAGGATGATGTCAACATTTAGGAACACTTAGAATTCAAAGTCTTGACACATATTAGGGAATTGGGTATTTCTGCAATCAGTGTCCTCAGAACAAAAAAAAAAAAAAAAAAAAGCCAACTTTCATTATTTGTAATAACTTGGAAGAGAGGGCGGGAAGAAGCAGAGTAGGAAATTCAACACAGTGCTATTTTGTTGCCTGCTTCTCTTGGTGTCTGTTCCCTTGTAAGGACAATATCTTCTACTCATTTAAAACACAGTGATTTTGTTCCAGACAGATTCCCCAGCAAGTGTAGTATTGGTGAACACCTCATCACACAAAGTGCTCCCTATAACTCTTTTTATTCTTGTTTATGAGCATTTTGCAAGAACACATGTCTTAGTTACGTGTTTGTTTGCTACATATACTGTTTAATTGTGAAAACATGCTTACAGAAGTGTCTCATTTTCTCTTTCTTTATGTCAACGTTTCCAATAAGCCTGATCAAAATTAAAACAGGATTTCACAATGTCAAGTTTAGGAATATTCCTGAAGCCGTATATATAATGAAGGTTTCATAAAAGTTAAGAATTAAAGTTATGTCTTATTTATATACTATGTAAATAGAAATTATATTAAATTGAGAAAACTATATATTAACAGATTAAATATTACTAGTTTTCACACTAATGATAATTTAGCATTGAGATAGTAAACAAACTGATGATGCAGTTATGCAGTTCTGTAAACCCCTCGCCTGGAGTTTGGAGTCATCTCCCCTACAGAGCAAATTGTGAATCAGCCTTGGTTACAAAAGAACTTGGAGGCTGGAGAAATGTGTGAGTGGTTAAGAGCACTGACTGTTCTTCCAGTGGATCTGGGTTTGAGTCCCAGCTTCCACAAAAGACCCTGTTTCAAATGCAAACCAACCACAACAACATTTGTTGTTTAGTATATTATAAAATGGTTATGACCTGTTTTTTTTTTTTTTTTTCTTCCCAGATGCAGGATCAGGATCTGGAGATGGAGGTAGGAGTTGCTCTTTTTCTGTATTTGGACATTTCAATGAATTTCTGTGGATGATTGTTGATAACAGTTCCAGAGCAGACATCTAAGAGAAACCTAAATGTGGGTGTTAGGAAAGGAAAACTACATGAAAACTTGTTCTCCTAGTTTACTTATGTATATGACACACCTAATTTTGGTCTATTCATGAGCCGCACCCATCTCATTCCATCTTGCTCCTTCATGTACTTGCTTGTGTATGAGCAAAGTTTGAAATATATGCTAACAATGCCAAAACTTCAAAATGCAATTGTGGACATGTTTAGGAACACAGAAAGAAACCACGGTGAAAACTTTTAAATATTTTATTTTTAAATACATAATATTTCCCTCATTCACCACATACTAAGATTAACACATAAATGACTTCCTATATCAGAATTTAAGACAAGATGTATTAGTTCATAAATAATAAAAAGACAAAAGTTAAGTTAAAGACAAAGTACAATCTTTCCTTCTTCGATGAAATTAATATAAAGTTAACTTTAATAAAATGAGATATAGCTTTGTTTGTTTTGCTGTGGCAGACTTGAAACTCTGTGGAAATCAGTCTGGCCTTGAATTTACAGAGATCAGCCTGTCTCTGCATCCTGAGCACTGAGATTAACAGCATATGCATCATGTCCTATTGGGCCTAGCCACCTAAAATTTATGCTTTGATTACCTAATCATATTTAAAGTATGTAAGGGAGAAGTACAAATTTTACAAGTCCTGCCTGATATGCATGCAACCAAAGATATACTTGATTTTTAGATCCTTGTAAATACCTCAGCCCCTTTTCCAAATGTAATCCCACTGCCACTTTTATTGACACGAAACAAGTAAAGAACAAAACCCAAGGTATACCATAAGATTAATAAACTGAAAATGAATTTGAAACACAAATACTATCAATAACTCTTAGTAAATATAGAACATGATGAAACCAAGTAAAAGAAAGCTTTGTGTTCAGGAAGGTAGTGATTCAGTGCTGCACACTATATCTAGTTTGGGAAACTTAAGTCTTACAGAGAGAAAGGCTTACTGATCCAATAAGCCTACACCCAGAGATAGATCATAGAGCTGCACATTGGAGCTCAATATTATTCCAGAAGGGTTAAAACTCAGCATCAGTCACAACTCAGATGCAGACCATGTTTGACGGCACACAGATATGGACCACCATTTCTAGTTGCCCCTCCTCCCTAGGTAATGAATATAGGACTCTCAAGAAAGCTTCCTGAAGGCTGTGAAAGGGAGTATTGGGAAACAAATTAAATCTCAATATAAAAGACAGGAAAAGAGCAATGAATTTAGCAGAAGCTTTGCCATTGAAATATCAAGAAATGTGTCCAGTTTTAAAGTATTGCTTTGGCAGGAAGATGTTTCTGTAGATTCTGAGCAGTTAGGTTTGTTTGCAGACTGCTCTGGCACTTAATGTGTTGAGACTAAGCTGTTCCATTATTCACACAAGGCTTGTTCCTTTACTACCAGTTTATAAAGAAAACGAAAATGGTCTTCAGAAAACATAATGTCTTCCCCATCCAGCTGAGTTTTCACCATACACTTTTCTTACCCAACATGCACCTTGTCTTGTTTATAAAATAATGACTTGTGATGACTGTGATAGTACCACTTCCTAGTGTTCATTAGTTGACAGTTGATATTAGCACAAGAAAATGGAAGCCAAGACAAGCCCATCCTTCATCGTTACTGTTAGATTGAACCATTTTGTTCCTTGTGCTCTCTTGCCATCTGAATAAGACTGTTTTCTTTTTAAGGAAGTCATTTCCTCTCATGAGTATGACATTGGTCACATAGTTCATAAGCAGAGTGATACATCATTAGGAAACACTTTTCTTCCCCAAATTTGTTTTTTTTTTCCTCCTCCCTCACCCACACTTTATTTCTCTGTAATTATTCCCCTCAATTATAGCTTCCTTAGTAATAGTAATACAAATTTTAAAGCTTAAAAATGCTTCTGTTACTATTGTTGTTGAGAGAGAGTCCCACTCTGTAAGCTGTCTGGCCTGGACAGACTCACTAATCAAGCCAGGCTGGTCTTGAACTCAGAGCATTTCTCCTGTGTCTGTTTCACAAATCTCAGGTCTACAGACAGGAGCTACCATATCTGACCAAACTGCTTCAGAAGATGCATTTACTTTTAAGAAATAGGTCATATAACCCTTTGAACTAGTGGTTCTCAACTTTACTAATGCTGTGACCTTTTAATACGGTTCCTCATGTTGTGGGGACCCACAGCCATATAAGTATTTTCATTGCTACTTCATAACTGTAATTTTGCTGCTGTTATAAATCATAATGTAAGTATTTTTGGAGATAGAGGTTTAACAAAAGGGTCGAGACCTACATCTTGAGAACTACTGTTTTGAATTCTGAGGTATATTCTTTGAAATAATAAATGTTGCAGAAATTTTAGCAATATGAATAAAAGTTTTAAATTGGAGACAAAACTGGGATGTTAGCCAGATTGCTTTTCCCCCAGCTTATATGTTATTATATTCTATGGCACTAACAGTTTTGAATTTCATTTGGCATCATTCTAAGATGCCAAATAGCTTAGCAATGACAATGATAAAGATAAACTCAAGTACAGATCACACAGCCCTTGAGTTGTTAAAATTGGGTTTCACTTCCTAACTCTAATGCTCTTAGGAGGGACTGCCTTTGTACTAAGAGGTCCTGTAAAGGTCCTATGAAGAAGCTTTCAGTGGACCCAGGATCATTCTTTGAATGAACTTCACGTGGTTGAACATGCTGTGTCTGTTCTAATGTGAATATATAGGAACTGGGTCATCTTTGCAAGTACATTGGAAGCTTGATGGTTGTGCTTTTAATGCCTTATCTGACAAAAGTTCCTATGACTCTCAAGTGCACTGCACTGATATGATGAATATACACCTATAAGCATTTGTCATGGGTAAAAGCCATAAACAAAATGGTTAACCCTCAAGGCTAAATTCATTTTTAAAAATCGCATCAGTTTTACCTGTTTTAGATTGGCCTGTGTTTTTAAATGTATGAATATCATATTAGCAATGATTATTAGACATGATTATATTAAGATAATTTAAGCTTTATTCATTTGCACAGGGCATATAACTGGCATTTTCTATGATTGAGGAAATTTTTTATCCTAACTGAAATGAATATAATGGTTTTATAAAATTGATGTTGTTTGGACATATTTTATAGATAGAAAGTTTTAACTATTTTACTGTTCGGATCAAACTTTTGAAATCATTCAGTTTGTTAGGAAAATGTGTTTACAGTGTCTCCAATACGGTCTTCATTTGGTGTTCATCTGCAAAGGGGTCTGTAGAAGAGCTAGGAGTAATTAATTACCCCACATAGTGACAGGTGGTTTTACCCATTTCAGGTTCTGTATCCTCATCTTCTGGTGTTCAAGAAAACTTATAAAAAAATAACTTTACATTGTTAGTTTTGAATGTAGGAGCTATGGAGTTTTGTGTCTGATCAAAAAAAAAAAAATGTTTGAAAGTCATTAGCATCAACATTCCTTCTGAATTGATTTGTACTCAGAAAACATTCACGATAACAACTATAACTTACTGTTTTATGTACCAGAAGATAATCCGTGGACCACTCTCCTAAGAACTTGAGAAAGTGACTGAATCTGATTAGCAATTCAAGTGCTTAAATGTATGTATATGGAGATGCAGTGTTGTAAATAAGAAAGTAGTGTGTGGGGGAGGAATCATCACCTCTTATCTACCCACAGACTTCCTTAGGCAACAAATACTGAGGAAGAAAAATTCCTAAAGCAGCCTCTAGCTCAAGATCCATGGCTGTATGCATGCTGGAAGGATGCCTTAGCCTCTGCTTTTCTGTATCTTTGAGCTATATTATAAACACAAATTTTTGAATATTTTACTTCATTCCTTTTTAAAGTACTTTTGCATTGTTTACATTTTCATCAAATTCTTAAAGATAAAAGGTCCATCCATCAATTGAACCATATCTTTTGTGTTGTTTTGTTTTGTTATATTTTTTTTTCTTTTTATTTATTTATCTATTTTCCTATTTTTGCATATCAATCCCAGTTCACTCTCCCTCCCTCCCTCTCTCTCTCCCTCTCATCCCCCCACTAACCTCCCCCCCCACCTCCCACTCCACAGGGAGGGTGGTGCCTTTCAGGTGGGATCAACAAATTCTGTCAAGTCATTTGGAGTAGGGACTAGTCCCTCTCTCCTCACCACTAGAGAAACTAGGATACAAGGAGGAATCTAAGAGACTCATACAAGATCCCTCACAGAAGCAGAAAGGAACAAGATCTCCTGAGCATATGGGAGGGGGGGGCAGTGAGTGGATATGGAATTAGGAGAAAGAGAAGGGGAGGAGAGGAAAGGAGAACATGTGGGACTAGGAAGTTGGAGTCAGGGGAGGAATAGATGAGAGAAAAAGAGAGAGATACCATAAAAAGAGGGAGCCATTGTAGGTTTGAAGAGAAAACTGACTAGAGAAATGTCCAGAGACCTACAAGACTGACCCCCAACTAACAATCTGAGCAACACTGGAAAGGCCCTTCGCTGACAAATGCCCTTCCTTGATAATGAGATTGTTTTTTGTTTTGTTTTGTTTTGTTTTGTTTTGTTTTGTTTTGTTATAAGACAAGGTTTCTCTCATTTCCCTAGCTGTTCTTTTCTGTAGACCAGGCTGACCTGGAACTCACAGAGATCCACCACCAGCTTGCCTCTACTTCCTGGGTGCTGGGATTAAGGTATGCACCACCACTTCTGGCCTGAAATCCATATCTTAACATTTAAAATATTTGCAGATGTGCTGTCCTGTTTTACATGAGGCCAGATCCACAATCAGCTTTTAATAACATCTTCTGAGAGCTCTGTAGTCTTAGTAGAATTAAATATGTAGCCAAGATACATGTTGTGGATTCAATGGTATACTGTTATTTTGTGAGAACAGAGAAGCACTTAGTGAACAT